AGTGGCACGGGGGGGGGGGGGGGGGGAGGGAAGGGATGGAGAGAGTTGGCTGGCTGCTTTTGGGAGTGATGCAGGGCCAAAGTAGGGTTAAGTCTGCCATAGTCCCCTGCACCACCACCCAGAAGCCACCTGCAGTAAGCGGTGCCCAGCTGGAGCCTGAATTCCAGACTTCGGCCCCAGTCCTGAACCTCTCCTGTACCCCAACCCCTGTCCTAGACCTGAGTCCCCCTGCACTGAAATTCCCTCCCAGAACCAGTACCCTCAACCCCCTCCTACACCTCAACTCGCTGCTCCAGGCTCAGCTCAGATCCTCTCCCATGCTCCAAATACTTTAGCCCAAGGTCAGAGTCTGCAGCCTCCTCTGCACCCCAACCCTCTGCCCCCAAACTGATAAAAGTGAGTGAGGATGGAGTGAGCAGGGGGCAGGAAGGAGGCAGGGCAAGAGTGTTTGGGTTTGATTGCATTTAAATTAAAGTGATGTCATGCTTAAAAAGGTGGGAGATCCCTGCATTACTCTTATTAGTGAGAGTAGGTTTAAATGCAATAGAAGTAACTCAGAAACGCATATAGTAGCTGTATCTCCTTGTTTGTTGAATTTTTCCATTCAAAATAACCAACAAAAACATTCTAAAATAACTGTTTATAAAACGACATGTAGTGAAACAATTTTTGTAAACGCAGATGCCGTGCTGAAACTGTTTCAGTAAGCATTTGCACAGTGGGTAAAGCTAGCCTTTTAGGCTATTAAGCCACTTAGCAACCCAACAGCTAAATGATTCTTTTAACCAAATTCTCCCCCGACTTATGTCCACATGCAACCAAACTGATTCTGTTGTCTGTAAGTCAGAGTAGTCTGACTTTTGATAAAACTTTTGTTGCAGTATTAGGTTAATATCTTTTAAAATGTGTACCTAATATTACATTTATACTACAAACCATGTCCCTTGCCAAATAAAAAAACACACACAATATAATGTTAAAATAAAGCTGACTAATCTATCACTCCTCATGAGAATTTGGCAGGGTTAAGAAAATGTATAAGGGGTGTTTTTTAGAGGTCTCTATTTCATTGTGTACGCTTGGAGCAGATCCTTAAATTTAGACTTTTTAGGAAGCAAAAGGGGAGAAGACTATAATTTTTCTGATGGTTCAGGTACAAAACTCCATACAACTTTTGAAATGCCTTTCCTCATGCTGAAATTGAATAATATTGGGATCTGATCTTTAGTTTGTAGTTACAAAAATTGGAGTGGGCTATTGGACAAAGCAAGCACTTGTGTGAGGGATCAGAGGGAGATCATCAAAGAAGCATTGTGTGCTATTTCTCAGAATCACTGTAAACTGTGCATGACAACATGTTCTGCTCTCTGCTTCTGGAAATAAAGATTGTCAGAACATTATTTGCCCAGGTGAGGGCAGTGACCTGGAAGGTGCTGAATTCTTTGTTGAATTTGGGTAAGGTAAGCGATAATCATTTACTGTTCTGTGCAAAGAAGCTTAGCTTTGTTTTAGTATTATAAGAGGCTTCAGATTTGCTGAATGGAGAATTGATCCAGAACACACTTTTTTTAATTGAAAGGAAAGTGCACTAGTGCAAAAGCTTGTCTATTTTTTTTCCTTTGGTTCAAGCTACTGATGTTAAATATCAGTTAATTGAAGAATTCATGAGGTTACTTGACTATTATCGGTTAGTTGACTATTCTGTAGTCCCCCAGGGAGTGGGGCTGGCAGCTAGTGCACTCTGGCCCCACTCCCGACGTGTACACTGCCCCTCTGTGCGGGGTGGCAGGTGGGAGCTGGTCCATGAGGAGATGCAGTTTAAAAACTAGCTCCCCTCATAGACTGGCTGTCTGTCTCCCTGTGCTTTTGCCTCTGATTCAGAGGCAGCAGCGCAGGGTGACAGCCCCTCTCTCGGGGAGGGGAAAGGGAAATGTGTGTAGTCTATAGTATTAACCTATAAGCTTTTGTTTATCAAATAATCGGTTAATTGAATACACTATAGCATCCCTGGTACATGCTAGGAACAGACCTATGCTAGTTTACTAAACACTTGAAACATTATCTTTGCTGCTAGAGTTCTTCTACAGGTCACCCAACCACCAGGGGGGGAGAGGATTAATGTTTTTGGACTTGGAAGTATGCTATAATTATGGAAGGATTGTTGATGAGGGACACACCTGTTTAATGTGTTTGAAGAAAACTATTCGCATTTGTCAGAGGAAACGTTGCTAGAATCTGGCTGCTGGCTACCAGCTGCTTTGTTTAAACGTTGTGCAGTAGTAGGTAAGATTATTCTGATGCCAGTGTGGCTGGTGCCTAAATAAGGGGATAGCTAAAATCTGATTAAACTGTAAACAACAAAGAAGTCTGTGGATAAAGCTTGTACAGTTCCTCAATCTGTAGTGCGCTCTCTCCCTGTCACTGGTATCAACATTCACACACATACCTTTTAGGAGATAAGATCCTTAGGAGCTCCATGTGGGATGTTACAATAGCTGCATTTCTGATATGGCACCTATAGAATGTGTGTTTAGCTGAATCATGTCAGCCTGCTTGACGTAAAGTCCTGTCCTCCCCCCCACCCATTGTTTCTATTTTGCATTCCCTGCAGGAAGGATCAGAATGTCCTGTCTCCAGTCAATTGTTGGAATCTCCTCTTAAACCAGGTGAAGCGAGAGAGCAGGGACCATACAACCCTCAGCGACATCTATCTGAACAATATCATCCCTCGCTTTGTCCAAGTCAGCGAAGACTCTGGGCGACTCTTCAAGAAGGTAACGGCATGCGGCAGCAGCCATATTTTCTTTGCTACTCTAGAAAGCGAAACTTCAGGTGTCTTTTCTGAACTGCCTTGCTGACTTACTATCCTGTCTGCAGCTCTCAAATCCATTCTCAGCACACACTACTGAGCTGAGGCAAAATACAGGACTATGTAGCACTTTAAAGACTAACAAGATGGTTTATTAGGTGATGAGCTTTTGTGGGCCAGACCCACTTCCTCAGATCAAATAGTGGAAGAAAATTGTCACAACCATATATACCAAAATACAATTTAAAAAATGAACACATATGAAAAGGACAAATCAAATTTCAGAACAGAAGGGGGATGGGAGGAGGAAGGTATCTATCACTACTGAGCTGAGGCTTCCTTTGATGCTGGTGCAATTACATGCTGATTTTTGCAGCTTTAGGATTCTCCTAAAAGGAATCTCTCAGTTGTTGAATTTATTCAGTGGTAGGTGAGTGGGATTCAATGGCCTCTAATATCCGGAGATCAGACTAGATGATTACTAGCCCTTTCTGTCCTTGAACTCTGTGGGTTTGTCTACGCAGTAGGTTAGTGTGTAACAAAGTGAAGGAGTGACTCTGCAGCCCAGTTTGCTGAGAACAAAATCACCATGTGAACAGTGGTACAGGGCAGTGCAAGTCTTACTGAGTGGCCCGAGCCTCTGAGGCTCTATGACTAAGATCCATAGATCCAAAATAGAGCCTGGCTCTGTTTCAGATGTCTTTGCTTAAATAATAGGAATAAACTGCCAACAATTGTGTATTACAGCCTTCTAATTACAAACCTGTGTCTGCAATGGAGCGATTTCTGTTAAACCTATTTTGGGTTTTCTTTCCATCTTGCCAAATGATGACGAAAAGCATTTTGAAAATTAGATACCTAACTGCCCTTTGGAGAACAAGAGGGAAAACCACAAAGCAAAAAGCATGTTTAGGAATGACTTCTTGCAAGCACACTTGGAAATAGGGTTGGGAAGTGGGAGTGGGTGACTTGCATGTTAAGAAACTGTGATTGTCCAGTTGATGAAATATGATGTAGAAGATTTGGAAGAACAACTTCAAATAATAATGCACTGGTCTCTTTGGAGTTTTCTTGATGGTTGTACCATCTGTCTGATTTAGCTTACTTAAACCTGCACAGGTTTCAAAACATTTTCTATCTTTTGGTTGTGTCTTGATTCTTCAGCATTCTTTCCATTGTAACCAAGTTGGACAAAAGTACTACAGAGTTTCTTGTGGCTAGCTAAGGCATAATTACATGGACACTCATCCAGTGCTGTAACGCTACATGTGGGGAGACAGACGAGGAGTTTTGGCAATATTTCCAGACTGACTTTCATATCTGACTTCTTGCTTTCCTGTGGTCCTAATTGGTGCTATGTTAAAATCAGAAACACAACTTGTGTTTATGTGACTTTAAAATGTAAATCTATTCAGGTGAAATCTTGACAGTAATTGGGGCCTTCATCAGCTTTTCACTGTGGTCTTGACAGCTGCTTGAAAAGTCCTGAAAATGTTCAGAAGCTTCAGGGGGTGGTAGCTGAGTTAGTCTGTACAGGAAAAAACAACAAATGGTTTGGTAGCACTTTATAGACTAACAAAACATGTAGATGGTATCATGAGCTTTTGTGGGCACAGCACAGTAAAAACTCCGGTGATCTGAAGAAGTGGGCTGTGCCCACGAAAGCTCATGATTCCATCTATATGTTTTGTTAGTCTATAAAGTGCTACCAGACCACTTGTTGTTTTTTAAGAGAATGTGTTCCATCACTTTATGAAGATCCATATGTGCTCTTCACTAGTTAAGAGACTCATCAGTTAAGAAACACTCTGCAATGTGGTGAGATTTAGACTACTGCAAAATGCACAGCATTTTGCAATTGTATATAAAGCACCAGGACAAGAAATTCACTTGAAGGGGCAGGCTAATCTAGCATTCTCAGGATTTAGAAGTGGTCAGAGTTCCTGTACTATGGAAACTTATTAGGCAGGGTGACTGCTGGCTTGTGTGATGGAATGGGTATGAGTCTGTTTGCTGAACATTAATGCTCTTGCAGCAATATGTAGCAGACTGTAATCTGAAGCAGAAAGTTTAAGAAAAATAACATGCTTCAGGCTTATGTTTTCTTGGACTTATTTAGGACGTGTGTTTGTCAGGTGCCTCTCAAGTAGCGATGGAATGAGTGTTTTTCAATTAATGTCACAATGAGACCTTTTTCTGACCTTTTAAAACCTTTGGGTGATTAAATTACAGTTGATTAGATACTTATATAGGATTATTGAATGGGAGTTCCCCTAATCCTTCCAGAGGATAAGTAATCACTCCTCTTCAGTTTTCAACAGGAGCTTTGTGGGAACATGTGAGTAACCAAGGCTGAGAAAATGTGAGGTAGAGGAAGTCCTATGAAGCTGATAAACTCTCTTGTGTGTCTGGAAACTGACCTTCTCACTTTCAATACTCTCCTCCCCTGTACAAACATGTTCTTATCCCATTCTTTGGTCGGTCGTTTAATGAATGGGATTTGATGTAGATATCTTTTTTTAAAAGAACTTGGCTTGTTTCTCAGAGTGAGGGAAAGCATCTTCTCAGTCTAATGAAGTGGGACATTGCTCCATGTCAGAAACCCAAGTAGATAGAATTTAGTACATAGATCCCAGGTTGGCCTCTGCTCCGGGCGCGTGGTTCCAGCCTTGGGCGCACGACAGCCCCAAAAGATTGGGGACCACTGGTCTAATGCTTAAATCTCCAGTGACAGAGCTTCCACAGCCTTTCTTGGAAGCTTGTGCCAGTGTTAAACTACTTAGATAGAAATGTTTTTTCCTTTTAGCTAATCTAATTCTCCTTTGCTGTCCACTGAGCCCATGACTACTTGTGCTACTTGTAATGGATCCTCATCCTCTCTTTAACATCCCTTAGCATATTGGAAGGGATTTGTTTTCAGCTCATCATTCCCCTTCCCCTGATCTTTTCCCAAGCTAACCTGCCCAGATGTTGAACCTTTTCTCATGAGTCAGGGTTTTTAAGCCTCCATGATTTTTGTTGCTCTCCTCCGGGCTCCGTCCAATTTGTCTACATCCTTCCTGAAGCCTGGTATCCAGTACTGAACACAATACTCCAGCTGAAGCTCCATCTGCACTGAGCAGAGCAGGCAACGACAGCCATTTCTTACATAGGACACTCCTGTTAATATACTATGGAATATTAGCCTTTTTTATTTCCAGCTACCTCACATTGACTCTCATTCAATCTGGACTCCGCTGTACCTCCCCAGATCCTTCTCAGCAGGCATAAGGCAGGAAGCGGCTCAGTATGTGGTGTGTGGCACTGGCAGAAATTTCTTTTGGGAAACAACCACTATTACAAATGGAGAAACTAACATCCTGCACCAGGCTTGTATCCATACAGACTTTTTCTCTTGTGTTTAAATGGAGGTTTATTTTTCTCCATCCTTTTGATGTAGTGGGAGTGGCGGTTATCGCAGCAGAATGCCACTGGTAAAAAGGCTGATTTTCTTGCTGTCGTAAAACAGACCTACTTTGTCCAGGAGGTGCAGGGGAGATAAGGTAATGACAGCATCTTTCTCTCTAGCAGTTGGTGTAGTGAAATCTGCCTTTTTGGAGGGAGCATTTCAATCACACATGCTATTAGCTTGATTTACTGCAAGGATTTTAATTTTATGGTCAGTACAGGGAAATGTAGCCATTGGGATAATATTGCCAGTGGCTTGCCTCATGTGGGACATGGCTGCCCTTTCATTGTGGCTCAAGTCAGAGTAACACAGTGAATCTGTGTTGGAATTAGAGGCACCTCTACCTCTAATATGTAGCTGAAGATCATAGGAAAATTCAAGTCCTCCTCACCTCTTCAAATGGCACGACTCCATGTAGTTTGTCCTGTATATAAGAAAACTGGAGAAGGATCCCAACATTGATTAAAGCGTGTTTGGCTTTATAAGGGCTGTTCTTCGTCCTGGGTGAAGAAAGCAGTGTCTTCAGAACTCTGGCTCTGCAAGGTTGCCAGCACCTGCAGCCTTGCTTACTTCCATGAAACCTTTTGAGGTGGACAGAGATGCTTACCTGTAGGCCAGGTGATGATTTTTCTTCTCAAGCAAGAAATAAGTTAGAAATATTTCCTCCCTACCTACAATCTGTGTGTGTGTGTGTGTGTGTGTGTGTGTGTGTGTGTGTGTGTGTAAGAGATGAAATTGCAGAATAAGGATAGCTCTCAAACGTCATTCTGCACTAACATGTTGCTGCTGTTTGTCGCCATGTTGTGGTGACGTCTCTTCTGGAACATGTACAAATTCATGTTTTTACATATTTTCTCTAGCAAAATCACATGGAAAATACCCATTTTTTTTTTTTCCTGTTGAAAGTGAGAATTCACTGAGGGTGTGTCTAGACTACATGCCTCCGTCGATGGAGGCATGTAGATTAGACAGGCAAAGGGAAATAAAGACGCGATTTAAATAATTGCGGCTTCATTTAAATTTACATGGCTGCCGCGCTGAGCTGACAAACAGCAGATCAGCTGTTTGTCGGCTCCGCGCGTTAGTCTGGACGCGCTGCTCAGACCTGAAAGCCTTTTATCGACATCCCCCTTATGCCTCGTAGGATGAGGTTTACAGGGGATGTTGGTAAAAGGCTTTCATTTCGACAGGGGAGCGTCCAGACTAGTGCCCGAAGCCGACAAACAGCTGATCAGCTGTTTGTCGGCTCAGCGCGGCAGCCATGTAAATTTAAATGACGTACCCTGAGTAGGCCTGTGACTAGCTGCGGAGAGATTTACATGCAGGGAGTGACCCCAGTGGGCTGCAATTGCTACAGTGGAATGTATTGAGAGATGTGGTATATGTCCTAGTCCGCCTAAGGCAGAGATAATGGATTCGGAGTCATGACTTTACAATAAGGGTTTTGGTAACAATTTGGGGGGGCTCTGTGTTTTAGGGCTTCATAGCTTATAACCAGCACGTTGGATTGTACCCTG